AGGAACAGATGTGCACAACACACAATCATCCCTCTATCTGAGTTTTTCTCTCTCTCTCCCCTTTCTTTTTCTCCCCTCTTCTTTCTAAATCACACCATAATGTCTCCCAGACATGCCTGTTTTCTTCATCACCTGGAAATAAAAGGACTGCTGCTGCTTTTAAAATGATTCCTCAGCCCGTCCCCCCCCTTCTTTTTTAAAGCGTTGTCAGATTTGGTTTCATACTTTATCGGGTCGGTCTCAAAGTAGGAGCAAACCTTTCAAAGTGAGGGATTATTTGTTGTGTAATCCTCCTCGTTCACTGTATGAAACTGTGGTTATGTGACTATCTTCAGGAACACGCTGGATGTGTGACACAAATGAGGACAAGGAAAAAAAATCTCATCCCAGTAGATGAAGAGAAGATGGACAACTGTTCTTACTGTACCAAGCAGTAAGAAACAGCTTCCTGACATCACCTGGGCTGCCGGACTCAACTTTATAACTTTATACAAACATGAAAACTCCCTTTTTTTTATCTTTACCCACTTCCATGAGGTTGCCTGTTGCCAAGGCGACTGCTATAACCCAGGTTACAGACCCTTCCTGTGGGATCCAGCGTGTGATTGGCCTGCCTGCCGAGGAGGAGGGGGGTCAATGGTTGGAGGCCTGGGATTGGCTAACCAGTTGGCAGAGGCAAGCCCCCCGCCCCCCCCAGCAGACAGAGATTCAGTAGAGAGCATTGATTTAATCGGTCGGCAGCCGGGCAGACAGCACTCACACATATAGATACATCTACACAAACACTGGCGGGTTGGAGGTGTTGGGGAGTGGGCCCAGTGGGGGTCACCTCTGTGGGAGTTTGTATATGTGTGTGCAATATCATGCTCTCCAGGAGAAGGCTGCGCTGGCAGTAATAGAAGCACTCCCAGGAGCAGACCACACTGGGTAATATCACACTCCCCAGGGAACTCACCATGCGCACACACACATTCCCACGTCTCACTATTTGTAGTGAGGACCATGTTTATACTCCCATTGACTTCCTTTGATTTCCAACCCTTTTTATGCCCCAACCCTGATAATAAACCTAAATCTAACAATTAACTTACTTGAACCTTACCTGAAATTAATTCAATTAGTCCTAAACCTAACCGTTAGCAAAAGGTCCGCACTTTGATACAAACGGTCCTCACTCTGATGCCATAACAAAAGCATGCACGCCCCAGAGCAGGGCTCAACACATCTGACATAATAATATAAAGACCCACACAGGCTACAAATCAACGTTTCCTCATATATTATATCTATTAGCTTCTTATATTATTATTAAAACGTGGAAGGCTGGCGTTGGCCGACTCATTTCTTTTTGATTGTGATATACAGGAATGGGGTAGAGGAAATCTATAGTCATCACTCATTAAAAATGACCCAATGTGTTTTTAAACAAACATGTCATCATGATAACGCTGCGTAAAAAACAAACAAAAAAATACAGACAATTATAAGAAATCTAAAGTAATATTTAGAATAATCTTAAGGAATTTCATGCAGTAAAAAAGTTTTAAGAGTCAAAACTCTAACGGAAGCGCATGTCACACCTCACTTTGAGTTCTCTTCTTGATCCATAGTACGATAAGTAGATTTAGGCTGCGTCTATGTGGCTTTAGCACAGCATATAGAAGAAAGAGCTTGACCATTTAGGTTACTGAAAGTTAAACTCAGGATTTTAAAATAGACTGGTCATCAGTTCTAAGACATTAAAACAGGAGGTATGTATTTAGTCTCTGCAGAAGTTTGGTCCAAATCTAGGTTATTTATATTTTCAACCGCCAATCAAAGAAATTTCTATGCAGAGTATTTTGTTTTTTAATTTCCATTCAAGTTTTACTTTGTTTTAAGTTGATCAAAGTTTTCTACAATGTATAATTAGAGCTGCCCAGCTTTCTGTTTCCCAGAGTATAAATATGGCATGACAGAGGCTCTGTTTAGCCACTGGCCACTAGACTGAATGAAAAAAACTTTTTGTGCCTGTTTACACAAAGGAAGATGGTGAGGGAAGTAAAAAAGAAAAACCTGCAAACCTTACTCTTGGTTCTAAACTGGGGTTATACAATCTCCATAGCAACTAATAGATGTTTTCTACAAGCAAATATGTTTTGTTTTAGATTGAAACCAGAGAAAATAAGCTATTCTTTAGTGGTGTGTCTAACCTTACTGACTTTAACTCGATGGTCAGATAAAACTAAAACTAACAAAAACCAGGAACATGTTGAGGACCACCTCATACCCTGGCCTCCTGTATGTATATATGTATGTATGGACTACTGTATATATGTATTGACTACTTTATATATGTATGGGCTACCATATAAAACCTCGAACTTGAAATGCTATTCCTGACATTTTGAATTGAAAAAGCTTCCTGGGTGGGAAGTGAAACGTCTTTAAACTTGGAAAAAAAGTCCAGTGGATTGTTTTTCTGCTTTCTTTTGGAACCACATCATACCCACTGTGAGGCACGGTGGAGGGTCAGTAATGCTGTGATGCTGGATGGCATAATAAAAAACATTTTAAAGATTAGAAATGGCTCTTTGAACCAGATTATGAACCAGAACTTGTGGCTAAAATAACAAATTAAAGGTTCAACAGTGAGAAAAACAGACCACCTTTCATTGAGGGGTTGAAATGAAAGCGTTAAAGCAATAATTAACTTAGAAAGTTGATTCAGGAATTAAAATAATAATCTGATATAATTTTCACTATTTTTTTTTGTCAGTATAAACAATGATGCATTTTTTACAGCTGTTTCTGGTTCATGAAAAGCAGCACTGTCCAGTTTCTATTTCTGGTCATTTATTACATCATATTTTCCTTGCTGATCAAACAGTCAGCAACGTATGTTCCTGATGACTGACTAGTTTCGACTCGAACTGTCGGCTTTAGTGTGCTCTTGTGTTAGGAAAGGTATGTTTATTTTATTATTAGCCACATTATCCTTTTCATTACTGAACAAAGGCTACAGACTAGTTTTGTCACCACTTTAGCTGCATAATACCAGCCAATGAAGAAATATGGTTAGCCTTAACCTGTCATTTCTGAGTGGCTCCACCTCTGCAGCACTCCGGGGCGAATGGCTTGTTAAAGGTATAGTGGAGGATTTTTGCAAAGTTTTGGAAAGATTTCCCATTGAAAATAAAAATGCACATGTACAACCCTGTACCTGCTCCCGAGAGAGAACGCCTATTAAACGCATGCAAGAGCATGCACAAAGTTTAAAAAGTTGCAGTTTGCATCGCTCATACAAGCTTACTTTCCAAAATAAGAGTTGCAATTTTTTCCACTATGTCAGACTCACCACATGTAATTGAAAATGGGGATGAGCACGTAGGACGGCCTTACATAAACATATCACCAAAATGATTGACAATTAGGAAGACCACTTATTTCTGCACTATACTTTTAAGTAAAATGGCTCCATTTTACTTAAAAGTATCACAAGTATTTACTTAAAAGTAATGCAAAGTATCATCTTCATCACAAATGTGCTTTACTGAGCCAATAAATGTGTTTGCATCAATGTTTTTTTTATGTATGTATGTTTTTTATGTATTTTAAAGTTAGATTAGTGGAGCTTGATGAAAACGGCCAAATTCGAATAAACATTTTTACTCCCACGTATGGTTGTTTTTGACCTTTTCTTAAAAAAGAAACGCTAAAAAAAAAAAGAATATGCATAAAAAGAGATAGCAGATCGCATTTGTCGAATAGGTTCTGACTTAGTGAATATTTACCCCAAATGACTGAGCAGTTATTTCTACTTCCGTTGTCCCTTTAGAATCGCATTTCTCTCTCCATGTCTCCATATGGCTTGTAACATAACTAACACTAGCTGGCGTAATAAAGTAAGTGCAACTTGCTCTCCTCTTCCTCTGTTAAAACAAAAACAGCAACTAGATAGAAATAAACATAGTCTTAATAGTTCCACTTATTGAATCGTTATATTTAAAACGACCAAGGGTGCCAATACCGACGTTAATGCCTATATATGGTGAATCCCTAAGTTGTCTTCCTAAGGATAGTCAAAGGAGAATGGTCTCTGCATGCCAGTGAGTGCTGCCAGCAATGTATTATGTTGCAGCATCTGTGGAATCAGGTTGATTAAAAAGAAAGTCTATTTTCAGACTTGACCTACAACTGTATTTAGTCTTAAATTACCAGATAAATGGCTGCTTCTGATGCAAAATGCATGAAGGGTGTCCACAATGGTTAGACTTAATGCTTCTGACCCATGAGTCGTTTCTCTCTCTGTAGATTGCTTGTTAAATTTCCAGACAGCAGAAGTCTACAGTGGTGACATCTTATCCCTCCCCTGCACCTATCACATAACAGCTTGCTGCAAAGTGATCCGAACATGACGACTAACACGGGGTTCATCCTCCGTCCCGCCACATAACGCTTAATTTTACCGCTTCCTGGGAAAAAAGCACCGAAGGATGGAGGACCGACAGACGGGCCAGCCAGAGAGTTTTCATCTCGCTAACCAATAAGCCGGCTTCCCTTAGAATATGAGCTGACAGCTTCATTAGGAGAGTGGTTGTGTTTGAGGGGCTGCTTTGATCTAAAAATACACACAATCATCGCCTCTAGAGTGGAGAAAGTTAAAGTTTTTCCGTTCGTCTTCAGAAGCTTTGTGTTTTTTTGTTTTGCTCAAGGAGAGGCTGGGAATGGGAGAACACAGCGCTGTGGCATTGAGGGTGTGTTAGTTTTTCCTATTTAGGATCGTTCTCTATTTGTGGAATATGGGAGTTTTAAATGGCAGATGTGATCTGGGGAGAGCCCAGGCAGTGATCTATCACTCTGCTGATTTTCTTGTCTTTCCCTCAAATGGGAATTCAGTGTTATTCTTTCAACAGGTGGTTTGCTGAATATGGACTCTGATCAGCCTGCTGTGATGGTTCATATATCCTCCAATAACGTGTCTCTTCTTCCCCATTCCCTTCTTCTCTTCTGTCCTTTAGAGCATAGGCAAAGGCTCCCTGTGGTCCATAGATCCGGAGTACAGGCACAACCTGATCCAGGCGCTGAAGAAGACGCCGTACCATCCATACTCACCCAGCCTGGCCACACCTTCCACCTCCCCGCCCACCCTGCCTCCCACGTTTCACCACAGGTAGGAAACCAACAGAAAACAGCTGGGATCTTCGGATCTCCATCACAGCTGACCAAGGCTGTATAAGGCTTTTGATCACATGATTCATTTTGAGGCGCCGCCGCCTGTCAAGCCCATCAATTACTTCACCACAGAGTTGCTCTGTTTTATATCAAGCTTCTATTACATCATCAAAGATTCTTCTTGAGTTTTAACCCTTTATTTGGGTACCTTGCAACTCAAAAATATATCATGACTCTAATAAATTTTAGTTTGCTTGATGACAGAGGTTGCCTTTCCCGGCCGCTGTGGGTAAAGTCAACTTCTGGAGCCCCAGCCCAGCAAAAGCAGCTCTAACTTGGTGCAAAGTTTGCTTTAAGTTCCTACCAGAGGGATTCACACCTTCTCTACATGTTTTCAATGTACAAGAAACATGATTGTATTCATCTCTAACTTCACTTAAAAAGCTGATTGGAAAGTGGAGGGAAAATCATACATGCATTTTAAGTTTTTTGGGGAAATGGAAATATAAAAGGTAGTTTTATTCAGCCTCAAATACTTTGTAGAACTACCTTTCTCTTAAAATCCTTCTGGGTAATTCTGTACTCGTGCAACATCTAGAGAGCAGTGTTCTATGGAGAATAGCTCAGGACGATCAGGAGGCCTCTATCAATATGAATTTTTCAGTTTGCCTCAAATTGTAGGTCTGTTCTTGGACTAGGCCAGTCTAATGCATAACTCTGTCTCGATTACACTGTTTTAGGTCTCGCTGCATGTTTTGGTGTCTACTGTCCTACTGGAAGGTGAACCTTGACCTCATTCTCATATCATTTTACAGCCTTTAAACTAACTTCAATCTCAGTGCTGGAGGGAAAGACGGCATCCCACAGCATCATTCTGCCACACCCATGTTTTTACAGATCAGCTGAATTAATAGGGAGATTAAATTGGTTGGATCCTATTCACTAACTGAGGGACTTAAGTGAATGTGTGAGATTGTATTTATAGATAATGGGGGAACTGTTTTACATTTATTTTCTGAATGAAAAATACACTGTTAGTAATAGTACTAAGAAACAAAAAGCTAAACCTGATTAACATCCTGGACTGACCACTTTGAACCTGATGAATGCAGGGTGAATGGTATAAACCAGTCTGCTACTATAAACCAGTCTGTTGTACCCATTGAATTAATCCCAGTTTTTTTTTTTTTGTTATGGGAACATTTTTATTCAAAGTAAAACAAAAACCTAAAATTAGAGCAAAAAAGCTAGAGGAAAGCACTGTTTCTAATGTGCTGTTTCAGTGTAGCCAATATGTGGAGAATAAATATGGCTACCTTGGACACTTGGGGGATTCTTAATTCATTAGGTTATAGCTGGAGCCTTTGGTCCTGTTATTAATTGATGCTCTTAATCAGGAAATAAAAGCAGAGAGTAGAGTTTTTCTTCTCTGTTCTCATATTTATGTGCAACAAATGTTTGCTTTTGAAGCATAAGTTTTTCCTCTTGGACACCAGGCATTGATTACAGGTGGAAAAACGAAACCGTTTTTCCATGATAAATGATTGGGACGTACGTTTCTTCTGGAGTGTGTCTGATTTAAGTGGATCTTCTAAAATCAAAGACCACCAATCAAGCGAGGCTTTCGGTGCCAATATCCAATTATAACATAAAACCTACAGCGTGCATTCATCTCCTGCTCTCTATCCTCTCCCCATCTGTCGCTCCCTCTGCATCCACTCGCTGCAGGCGTCAGAGCTGACCTGCTCCATCCTCTCCTCAAATCTTTTTTTGCACGCTGTTTTCATGCAACAACAGTCCTGTCTTTCTTCCCCCTCAGGCACATCGCAGGTAAAAAAGCCCCCTTTTTATTCCCTTTCTTCTGAACATGTTCGCTCCATCAGCCGCGCCTCCTAACCCCCACCCCACCCCGCGCTCAGCATCTCCTCCGGCATCTTCTACACCTCCCTCTCTTTTCTCTTGTCTCCCCTCTTAATGTCCCACACACCCTCCCGTTCATCCTCAGGCATACAATGCAACTGGCGAGGCAGCCTCCTTTTCATCTTCTTTATTTATCCCTGTTGTAATTTATCTCTTCTTTCCAGTCGTTTTCCTCTCCCTCCATCACTTTATCATTCAATTAAATCCTCCTTTGTCTATGCTCACTTTTCCACACACTCCTCTCCACAGTGCAGCAGCATCCTCTCATCCTCGCTTTATGACCTCTCCACCGCCCTCCATCATCCCCTTTGCTAACTTCTCAGTGTCCTGCACCTCCATCTGTCCCTGCGGATTTGTCAGAGATCGGTACCATTAGTTTTTTGGGGTTTTTTTTCTCCCTCTTGTCTTCAGCTTCTTCTCTTTCCCTCTGTCCAAACTCCCGAGCAGCAGCCCTCCAAACCCCTCCCCTGCTGATCTGGGCAGGTTGGCTCGCAGAGCCAGCGGACTGTGTAAGACAGAATAATTGGTTCACCATAAAATGTAAAAGTGTCATTTTGAACAATGAGGTATGTGGAAGTGGAACAAATTGGAGGCTGGATTCGGAACATGGAGGGGGGGTGGAGGTGGGAGGCTGTTCATTTGCATTCTGACACACACAGAGGGGAACGGCAGAGGGAGAGTAAGGGGAACTGGAGGTCCCTGAGTGATGCAGCACGTGCAACTGTGTTCACCTCAGTTACAGTACGCAATTATTTTATTTATAAAACGCCCTTCACAGGCTGCTGTAACACGAGATGTCTGCCTGTGCCTCAGCTTCACCCACTCCTCTGAATGAGTCTGTGATAGAAATCACCATTAAAGCAGCAAAAGGCTGACAGTGAAATAAGAACAAAGAAACTTTAAGTGCGGTTTAAAAAGTATCCGCCCCATCGGCACATTTATTGTCCTTTAGCTTTGTTTGAACTTAGATGTTTAGTTAAAAAAAAGACAGATTTTATAGGATGATTTCCTTTTTAGGATGGGAAAAGCTATATAAACCAACTTGGCACTGTGTGAAAGGTAGTAGTAACTGATGGTGTCACGCATGGTGCCAGCTGTTGCTATCACTTTTTTTTTTTAAACAGCTGTGTGGAGATTTTTGCCCATCATTCTTTGCAGAAACTTTTGAAATCAACCACATTCAAACCAATCAATCAGGTTTATACTGTTACTGGACTTTGACTAGGCCACCCATAAACGTGCTGATTTGCATTGTTGATCTCCTACTTAACCCACTGATATTACACAGGATCTTCCTGTAGAGAGCAGAGTTCATGGTTTCATCAGTTATGTTTAAACCATTTTACGCTTACCACCACTTAGGGCTGACTTTATGTTTGGGGGCTGCTTAGTTGTAATCAAAGTTTTTACCGGGGTTTCCCGCAGATTCTGAAGGTTTCAATCACTAACCTTAGACTTAGGGAGAATTGTGGCCTTTTATTACAAAATTTGGATAACATGGCTTGTATTTAGCATCAAAGACTGATAACACAGCTTCTCTTTAAGGAAAGCCAACATTTAGCACATGTGGCAAAGCATTTAACCTGTGCTGATCTCAAAATGCAATTCAGCAACAGATCTTCATCACACGATGGATCTTTATCTGTATCTCTAAGTGTCAAAACCTTAAACCTCAATATTTAATTTAGATTGACAAACACATAGTTGAGTAAAACTTTTTGAACTAAACATTTCATCCTGTTTATGAATTGACTTGAAGGATTAAACAGTCCCACCAATGAAAATACCAAGTGATTAATGCATTTGCATAAGGCCCACCCTCTCACGACGCGTCAGTAAATAGAACATTTTGCTACCTCCATCTAACCATAAGTTTTGACTGGCATCTGTGTCTCCAATAGAAAGCAATTCCCAGAGCATGATGCTGCCACCACCATGGTTTATAATTAGAACTGAACAGCCTATATGATGGTTTAATTGTGGTCTCATCTGACTTGAGTTTCCCCTTCCACATATTTTATCTCCTACATGGAGCTAAAACTAGAATGTCTTATATTTCACATGGCTCTCTTTTGCCTCTTTTTTTGAAAAGGTCAGCTGTATCCCATATTGCCCAATAAGCAGTGGAGTGGAGCTGGTTCAGGCTTACGCAGAGTGCCCAACTGTAAATCATTATAACTGCACTCTGCTGTTCATACAGTATTGAGTTCCAGGTGAGCTGCTCTGCTTCTCACTGACCAGCAGCTTTCTCAGCTTCTAGGGATTTGTTACTTTGAGATGCTTATTTAAACAGATCCTCTTTCCCAACAGAATAACAACACTGCATTTTTAGGAGGGTAATACAAAGATAAAACGACGCTCTCACATGTCACTTGCAATGTACTAAATAACATTTCCAATTCAGCTAATGTGGGGAAAGATTTTTGTGTACAACGACTTTTCTTCACCTGCAATTTTCAGTGGCTGTTCCTGACTTTCTGTTTCTGTTCTGAAGTTCTCTGCCCTCTATGTTGGAGATGGTCACAATGGAAACTGCTAAGCTGGATTCTAATTTTGGGATGTAAATACAAAGATTTTTTTTTTATTCTACATAGATTGGATTTATAGGTCCTACTGTCTGATAAAATATTGAAGTTCAAAAGTACTACATCATTAAATGTAACTTGTATGGGTTTTTTTCAGTGAGTTTTAGAGGCAGATAATGAAAAATTATCTCCTGTAGAGGTTTGTCTTAAAGCAGATATGGAAAAGCCTCAGACTGAAGACACTGTATGAGAGTCTGATGAAGAGGATGCTCAGGGTGGTCCACAATGTTCTTCGTTTAATGACAAATTGTCTTTGTAAAGATTGTTGAATCATCTCCTTGAGTCTTCTTACGTTTCCAACAAAGAAATTCTGGCTGAAATGTATTAAATGCACTGGAGAAAACAAATCTTATCTTAATGACAGTGGGGTTGTTCGCTTGTGTGTTTAAACTGAACGCAATTTTGCAGCTGGAGCGAATTCGCTTAAGAGTAGTAGGTGTAGGGTTAATATAAACCCTAGAAGGACTGTGTCATCCTCCCTTACCTCCAGCAC